TGTGTGTGTGTGTGTGTGTGTGTGTGTGTGTGTGTGTGTGTGTGTGTAAGCCAAAAGTCAAAAGTAGGGTGTTCCTCAGTCACTGTCCACCATACTGTTATTTGTTTTGTTTTAGAGACAGGGTCTCTTACTGGCCTAGAGCTTGCCAAGCAGGGTAGGCTAGCTGGCCAGAGAGCCCCAAGGATCAGCCTATATCTGGTCTGCCTCCCCAGGGTTGGAATTACAAGTGGGTATTACCACACCCAGCCTTTCACGTGACTTCTGGGGATCAGACTCAGGCCTGGTGTTTTTTGAGGCAAGAACTTTACCAATTCAGTTATCTCATCAGCCTAAGACTTCTGTTATCGTAAGCCATCAGGTTTAGGACCATTTGTCACAGCAACCTGTGAATACTCACACACTGGTTGGCTAAGAGACCCAGGTGAGAGGTGGAAACCTGAGGCTTATTGTACCTTTCCTACAGATTTTATAGGACAAGGGTGTGGAATGTAGGTGAACTCCAAATTTAATGGACAGTCCTCTGGAACAATGGAGCAGGAACAACGTATGGCAGCAGCAGCCTCAGCCCTAGGTCTGACAGTCTGGGGGCTTCAAAAGGGACAGGCCTAGGGAGGCTAGCTACAGAAAAGTTGTGGTTGAACTGAATGGGGCCTCATCTGGCAGGTGCCACAGGAAGACTGGTAAAGCTGGCTATCAAGCTTGGGGGTTGACAGAGAGAAACTAACAAAAGCCACCATAGGCTGACATCTTCCTAGGGTCATGGATTCACTCATGTGATTCTCAGCACCCCCAGGAGATCCATATTTGTAAGATCTTCATATTATATGAGGAAGCTGAGCTAGCAAGACAGAGTAGTAACTTCCTTATGCCCCATTGTCAGCAAAGAGCAGAGTGGCTGGTGGTCAGCCTCAGCTACAACCCCATTCAGTTACAACCCCATAGTACCCATCAAAGGAGTGGCACAGAAAGAGCCAGGGCCTCCAAATGCAGCATTTCATCTCACCCTAGTAGGGACCACTTCAGGGGAGAGGTGGCCTTCACCATGGGCTGCATAGCCTGTGACTAGGCTGTTTTGGGGAGAGTATTCTGAGTAAGGCAACCAAGTAGAGATGTATTTGGTGGTCAGGTCTGCTGAGAGCATGGGGCAGGCTGAGCATGGGGGCAGAGAACCCTGGTGTACTGTTGGAGATTTTGTTTCCAAGGCCCTTGAGGGTAAATGGCAAAAGTCATGTGGGTGAGGCAGAGAGATTTAGGAAAAGAGAAAGGCCAAGACCAAGGGGAAGTATGCAGAATGAGAAGAGGTAGGAGAAGCAGAGATGCTCAGGGGCAAGGCTCATGCTCCTTCCCTCCTTTGGGTTTTATACAGTTTCATTGAAATACAAGTCACCAACTATACAATTCACCCATTTAACGTGTATAATTCAACAATTTTTACTGTATCTTTAGATACACACAACCATCACCACAGTCATATTTAGAATATTTTCATCACCCCTGAAAGAAACCCCACTTCAGATATAGTGGCACATGCCTGTTGTCCCTGAACTCGAGAAGCTAAGGCAGGAGAACTGCAAGTTCCAAGCTAGCCTGGGCTACACAGTGGAGAATCTGTCTCAAAAAACAAACCAAATGGGGGCTTGTGAGATGGCTCAGAGTGTCAAGGTGCTTGATGCCTGCCTGCCTGATGACCTGAGTTCAATCCTGAGGACCCATGTGGTAGAGGGAGAGAACGTGTTGTCCTGTGACTTCCACTTGTGTGTATGTACATATGCATGTGTGTGACACACACATGAATTCACACAAACAAGTAGGAGCTAGAGAGGCAGCTCAGCAGTTAAGAGCACTGTCTCCTTCCAGAGGACAGGGGTTTGATTCCCAGCATCCACATAATTGCCTGTAACTTCAGTTCCAGGGGGATCTGATGCCCCCTCTATTTCCATGAGAATTGCATGAATGTGGTGCACAGCCATACAAACAGGCAAAAACATCACATACATTAAAAGGGGGGGGGGCTAGAAAGATGGCTCAGTTGTTAAGAGTAGTAGCTGTTCTTCCAGAGGATCCTGGATCGAGTTCCTTCACTCACATGGCAGCTCATAACTGTTGTAACCCCACTTCTAGGGGATCCAATGCCCCCTTCTGGCCTCCATGGGCACCGCACATACGTGGTACATAGACATACATTCAGGCATAACATCCATACACATAAATCAACAATAATTTAAAATTAAATAAATGTAATAAAAACCAAAGATAACCAAGTAAACCAAAAGCATCCCACATAAACATCAACGGCAAAACCAGATGAATTGGATTTCATCATGATTTGAAAATATTTGTGCATCTACAGACACTATCAGGAGAGTGACAAGAGAAAAGCGTATGTTTGATGAGGATTTAGTAGTCACTATAGAGCAAGGATTTAAAAACACAATAGAAGATAGCCCAGCTCTTTAGTGTGCTCTTCCAAATGTCTCCTAACTCCTACCATGAGTCAATCCTAAGTTTTCTTCCACATGACCAAGCATGGTGACAGCAATGGTCCTAGTTCTTGGTACCAGTTTTCTAAACATCCTTCAGTACAGTAAAGGTGACAATCAAAGCGAATTATCACACATATGCCAAGGAATAAAACAGTTGGGTCACATGGCAGTGCCATGTTCAACTTTCTGAGAAACCATAAAATATATAAAATATAAAACTATATTCCAAAAATGATACCATTTGTGTGTGTGTGTGTGTGTGTGTGTGTGTGTGTTGTGTGTGTGAAGGTATATGTATGTGTTTGTGTGGGTGTGTGCATGTGTAAGCCAAAGGTCACCTTGCATGTCTTCCTCAATTACTCTCCACCTTACTTCTTTGGACAGGGTTTTTCACTGAACCTGGAGCTCATCCACTTGTTTTTGTTTTGAGACAGGGTTTCTCTGTGTATCCCTTGCTGTCCTGGCACTCTCTCTGTAGAGCAGGCTGGCTTCGGAACTCAGAGATCTGCTTGTCTCTGCCTCCTGAGTGTTGGGATTAAAGGTATGTGCCACCACCACCTGGTTGGAATGCTGGTCTCTTTTGCTTGGAGTGGTAGGCACTTTAACAATTGAGCCACCTCTTCAGTCATGGCAATATACCATTTTATATTGCTGTCAGCAACATAGAAATATTCTAATATCTTCTCATCCTTACTAGTATTTAATAAATGTAAATTGAAATTACTAGAAGATCCTATTTTCTACCCAGGAGACCCTACTTTCCCCCCAGTAGAATGGCAACAACAACAACAACAATAGAGAGAGCCTAGAATGCTGTAAGCAGAGCTTAACAGGTAATTCTGGTGGGAACTCAGAGAACTAGAATGCTAACAGGGATACAAACAGTAAAGGCTGTGCTTGCAAGCTTTCAGATGAGAACAAGGACAATATTGAGAATTGGACTAGAGACCATTTGTATTATGCTATGGAAAATATCTTCTTTACACTTTTGCCTATGCCCTCACACTCAGTGTGGTTAAATGTAAGGTGATAGACTAATCTGGCAGAGGAAATTTCAAGCATCCCAGCATTCAGTTTGTGGCATAAGTATTATTGGCTCTTTTTCAGCTGAATTTAATGTCATCAGAGCAAGAAAGAGGAGAGGGCTGGTGAGATGGTTCAATGGGTAAAGGCATTTGCCTTCAAGCGTGATGACCTAACTTTGATCCTCATGACCCACACTGTGGAAAGAAAGAACCAACTCTCACATTTGTCTTCTAGTCTACACACATGTGCACACACACATTCTGTTCTCTCTCTCTCTCTCTCTCTCTCTCTCTCTCTCTCTCTCTCTCTCAACAAACAAACAAATGTAATATTAAAATTTTTTAAAGAAGACTTGCAATTTTGGCCAGAGAAGATGTGTTATAAAGTTCCAGCCAAGGAGGATGTTGCTGAAGTGATAGTACCACTTTAAAAGGTCAAGTATTGCACTGATACTATAAGAACACTGAACTATAAGAACTATAAGAACAATATAAGAGAATCTCAGAAATTAATAAGGCCACAGCCACCACAGTTCAGGGGTGTATAAATACAAGCTGCTTTTAAAGACTTTCTAGGGCAGAGTCTTTTGAGAGGACAGTTCCAGGAAGCCCTGCTTGTCCTAATATGTCTAATGAACTGTAAATTGTTTCCCTGGGATGGTCCTACTCATTCATCCAGGGAGGGACTCAGAATTCACTGCAGCTGTGGTTCAAGTGGGCTCAGATGTAGCTCAAGCTAGTGGAAGGCCTTGGCATCCTCCATGTGGTGGTTTTGCATATGTTCAGAATGGAAGACCTGCAGAGTTGTGGATGTTTCCACCTAGATTTTAAAGGAAAGCCTGGGTAGCCATGAGATAGATGTGTGGTCATGTCAGGATCCCTCTAGGTAGTGCACATAGCTGTGAGGGTGAAGCTAAAGCTACAGTAGAGATTGCAGGAAGTTAGACATGCTCAGACTATGTAACTTCTGCTGAAGAATGTTGCAGGAAGTCAGCTCAAGAGAGAGAGGCAAGACCAAAGAGGTAGGGCTGTCTAAGCCCTTTGTAGCTTACATCACATCATCACATGGCTCAGATACCATTGGGCATGGAACTACATGATTTAATGCTATGCTGGTTTTCTGTATTGCTTTGGTTCAATCTGTACTCACTGTGCTTCCATTCCTGCCTTTTAGAATGGGAATATTTACTCTGTGCCATTGTATGTTAAAATAATTTGTTGTTTGAATTTTATAGGGACTCAATATGTTCAGCCTTCAAATGGCAGTGAAGTTCTGATAGATAAAGGAATTTTGAGGACATTATGAACTATGATGAAAGCTAGACACAAAGTGAGTGAGACTTTGAACTTGGACTTTTGGAATAGTCACAACATTGAAAAATCATGGGAGTGGACTGAGTGAAGTTTGCATTGTGAGATGGACACGAGCCTTTGGAGGGCAGGGATGGAATGCTAAAATGAATCTATAATGTCTTCCAAAAAATCTAGTGTAAACATTTGATCTTCACTTTCATGCTGTTGGGAGGTGGTGCAACCTTTAAGATGGGGGAATTTTAAGGAAATTTTAGCCCATTGGTGACATGCTATTGAAGAGGTTTGTGGTACTGTGGTCTTGTACTTCTCCTTGTTCTTATCCTAGCCTTTTAAGCATACTCCTTGCCATGGTGTTCCATTCTGTCACAGGTCCATAGGCAGTGGGGGCAAATGACTATGGACTGAAACCTTTAAAATTATAAGTCTAAATAAATCTTTTATGAGTTGGCTTTTCTCCTTTTCTGGTGATGGTGGTAAGACAGGGCCTCCCTATGCTGCTCAGGTTGGTCTCAAACTCCTAGATTTAAGACATCCTCCTGTCTCATCATTTGAGGCAGCTAGGACAAGAGGAGTGTATCACTGTGCTCAGCTCAAGTATTCTAATAACAGAAAGCTGACTGACACAGTGTATACCCCAAAGGATCGAGAATGTGTACTCAAACTTATGCCTGTGCTATGCTTGAATGACCATAGCACTATTGACAAGAGCCCAAATGTAGACACAATCTGGGTGTCTGAGAATAGATGAATGGCTGAACCAAATGTGGTGCTATCCATACAATGGAAGGTTGTTCAGTCTTCAAATGGCAGTGAAGTTCTGATAGATAAAGGAACTTTGAGGACATTTTGAACTATGATGAAAGCTAGACACAAAAATACACAAAGTACAGAATGGCATTTTTATGAAATCTCTGGAATAGAATAGGTGAAACCACAAGGACAGGTCAGAAGTTGCCAGAGGTAGAGAGGGGGCATGAAAATCTCCTTAATGTGACCTGGGGTTTCTTTTGGGGGTGATGAAAATCTTTTAGAGTTCTATAGTGGTGATGGCTGCAAACATTAGGAATATACTTAATGCTACTGCACTGTATACTTTAAAGTAGCTAACATGGTCAATTTTATGTTAGGTCTACTTTACCACAAAAAAAAAAAAAAACAAGAAATTTTATACCCTTTAGCTAGCCTTCAGCCACCCGGCCCCTGGCTCCTTCCTGTTACCCACTCACTTTTTGAGCAGGATCTCTGAGGCTCCCTTGCTGAAGAGGCGGAAGCTACCATCAGGCATGCGGATAACTGTGCTCATGGACTTGCGGACTGAATTGAAGGTGTACACTTTGTAAAGCTTATCTTCTGGAATCTGCTCCCGTACAGGTTGGAAGTCTCGTTTCAGGTCCAGGACAAAGCCCAACAGAGCACACTCTGTTTTGTTGCCCACTTGGCGTGGGAGAGCGCCTTCCTTCTCTGGAGGCTGTAGGCAAGGACAGTCAGCTTGGCATCAAGGCCCAGAGTACCCTCTGTTCCATCCCCAAGGCTAAGGTTCCCATTCAGCTTTGGCCATCATGTAGCTAGGGGGCAGTGGCATGGAGTAGAGTGAAGCCACCCATATTGACTACACAGGACATGGCCTGGCTGCAACGTGTCCCCTTAAAGGTAGGTTTTCCATCATTTACCATGCTCGGAAAGGACTTCTAGAACCCACCTACCCCACCCAGCAGCATGAGTACTCTGTCATGCCAGGGACAGGAAGAAAGGCAACCAGTACCCTAAAGGTTCCTCTTGAAAGTTCTTGGTCTTTCTTGTTTTGTTGAAATGGGGTCTGTCACTGGCCTGGAGCCCCTGCTTTCTGCCTGTCTCTGCCTCCTCAGTGCTGGAAGTATAAGCAGACTGCTGCATATCTTTTTTACATGGGTTCTGGTGAGTGAACTCAAGTCTTCACGCTTGTAAGGTAAGCACTTTACTGACTGAGTTATCTCTTCAACCTTGGTTTTTACTTTTCTGTTGTGGAATAATCTTTTTGTACACTATGAAGATGTGTCACTGTGACTGGTTTAATAAAAAGGTGAATGGTCAATAGCTAGGCAGGATTTCTAGGCAGAGAGGATGCTGGGAAGAAGAAGGCAGAGATGCCAGGGATGCAGAGCAAGCAGGATGGGCACTACAGAGATAAAGCCACAAGCCAGAAAGTAAATTAATAGATATGGGTTAATTGAAGTTGCAAGAACTAGTTAGAAACAGACTAAGCTATTATCTGAGCTTTCATAATTAATACAGGTCTCTGTGCCAATATTGGGAGGTTGATGGTCCTGACAAAAAAGTCCATCTACATTTTTCTCCCCTGCTCTGTGTTTCTTTTTATAGTATGATGGTGCAAACCATTTTTGGTCAAACCTCATGTTCACTAGGCATATTCTTTACCAATACCACTCAGCTACTTTCTCAGCACCCCAAGATTTATAACTGAGCCTAGTTAGCCCTTCAGAGCAGTTCATGCCATACCACCAGCCCTGCCCCCTTCTCTCATCTGCCCTCCTAGCCCTGCTCACTAGTATTTTGGTGGTGTAGGCACTGTTGATGGAGATGGCATGGACCAGAAGGTCAAGGATCTTGGGGGTCAGGGCGCTGGGAGCTGGAATCTCTTTGTAGTGAGTGTCTCCTAGGTAGGACTGGACCACGGTCATGCGGTTGGTGGTGAGTGTGCCCGTCTTGTCAGAACAGATTGCCGTGGCATTGCCCATGGTCTCACAGGCATCCAGGTGGCGTACCAGGTTGTTATCCTTCATCATTTTCTGTAAAGGGCAAAGAAGGAGTGGGAGATGCTTAGTTGTTTACTCATAGGGATAAAGGCAATGTGAGTGACACTAACAATCTATTTGGTGACCTTGGTCATCTCTGGATTGGGTGCTAATAAAACTAAGAGAGTAGGTATGTAAGATACAAGGGCTGCCATCTCATGGGGAACAGTGAGCTTCCAAGAAGCTAGCTACTCTCTGCATGGCTGACTTGGAAACTATCTGCCAGAGCTCCCTCTCCAATTGCCTGCTACCTCTGTGTTCCTCCACACTCCTCTGGTTCTTCTTTACTCTCCCACTGCCTCCCAGTGTCCCAGAACCTTTTCTGAGGCCCCTGCCTCTCTGCCCCTGCCTCTGCAAGCAGCACTATCTGCCCCCACTCTTTTCTTGGCTCTTCCAACTCTCCCTGCCAGTATTCCACAAATGCCAAGCCCAGGTCTTTCTTGACATCAGTTTGTTTTCTAGCTCCCTTCACTGTGTCTAAGGGATGGGTGGTCACAGTAGGACCCTCTGTTAGGATGGATTAGCAAAGTCCATCTTAGTCATTACCCTTCCCTCCTTCCTTAGCTTCCCCAGCCTTCCTTAGTGCCCACTACACCTAAGGTGCTTTGATAATATCCCACTCTAGTTTTGTAGTCTATGTGATGGAATTAATTATAAGTAGCAGTATTATTACCTTGACAGAGTAAGCCAAGGAGATAGTGACAGCAAGAGGCAGGCCCTCAGGGACAGCCACAACCAACACAGTGACTCCAATAATGAAGAACTTCACAAAATACTGCACGTAGACAGGTGTGCACTCTGCCAGCCACACCCGGCCATCCACGACGAAGGTCTCAATCACAAAGTAGAGGACCAGGATGATGACAGTGATGGCAGACATCACCAACCCTGTCCGGCCATGATGGAGAGGGGCCACAAGAGGTAAGAGGAGAAAAGGAAGGAAGAAAAATTGAGGGCAATGTAGCCATGGCTGGCCTGAGCCCAGCCAGGGCCTTTGCAAGGGGTTGATGGATTTGAGTCATCTTTTAGGATAAATAGCTTGAAGGATGACTCCATGAAGTGAGAGGTCCTAGGGTAGCCTTTGCTCCAGTTCCCCAGGACAGTGTAGTGTAAAGAGCAGAAAGCTAAGGGTATGAGAGGCACACCTGTGAGGAACTAGCCACCCTCATATATTTGGGCTCTGGCCAGCAGGCTCTCAGTAAAGTTGGCTGCCTCTTGACTATGATGTGGCCAGAAACCTTGAATCAGGGAGTCTGCTAAGTAATACATGAATGTGTGGCTTAGGCCTTATTGGGGTGGAGGGTGCTAAGCCAGGATTTGATAGTCATGATTGGCTCTGGTCTGCACATCTGGCCCTACAGTATATGCCACACTCTTCTGGAATACTATACATTTCTCTGTACATGAACTTGCCTAGGGCTAGGACAATATTCTGTCCTTTGCATTCACAGCATCTGGAACTGATACTACTTCCAGGAGCCCGCTGTCCTCCAGGCTTCTGGCATTCTGTGTCTGGCTGAACGTACCTGCTTTCCCAATCTGCACAGCCAGTTTTGTGAGCTTCCCTTGCAGAACTGACTTCTCCTTCTTGGGTACGTTGGTTTTCTTCTTTTCTCGCTCCTCCATTTCCCCACCCTCAGCACTCTTCAGGGGCTGCATTTCCATGGCAACAGCCCCATCCTGCTTCTTAGCTGTACATAGAGGAAACCCTTGGCTGAAGTTAGGGCCTAGCAAGGGTAAAGGGGCTACAGAGGGCAATCACAAGGAAAGACATGTCTCATCATATGGGATTCAATGGAGCACTTTTAATTTCAAGTTTTGCAAAGGAAATCTGTAGGCTTCTGTTGCATCCTAAGCCCAGGCCCTCCTGAGGTAGGCAGGCAGTTGAAGTATTGTCCTAGGTGGGACAGACAGATGGTTCTTTTGTGGGAAGGGTGGACAGACACTAGTACAAGGAACTTGTGCACAGACAAGTTGGCCAGTCCAGTAATATCCTAAATCTCAATACCTGAGAGAAGTCCTGTGGTTGGTCCAAGGAATGTTCTGGAACCAAAATCTGACTCAATTGCCCACAGATATCCAAGCCACCTCTACTTTCCCCTAAAGGACACTAAAGGGCCTTAGTGTATGCTCCTTTTAGCTCAGACACCACTGCTCAGCCTGCCTCCTCCTATGGAATCTGTGGGAAAGACTGTTTTGTCCCTCTTATTATTTCCCTACCTCCCTCTTGGATCAGGTGACTCCTCCCACTCCTTCTTTTTAGGCCCCTCAGATTTCGTTCTTGCTGCCTTTGTGGTGGTGACATGGGTGCCTTATCTCCCCCTTTGCCAAGCTTTACCCAGTCTTTGGGCTTGGGGCTCTCGACTACACTGCCAAAAGTAACCATGTCCACTCCACCTGCTTCCTCTACTCTTCCTAAGGAAGGGGTTGCCTGACCTAGCAGTTGTGGGGGTGTCCCCCAGTTTGTCTTTTTCTCTTTTATTCTGCATCCCTTCACCTCACCTGGCAGCCCAAAGCCACTTACGATAGCTCCTTCCTCCTAGCAGCCTTAGGACATGCCAGACCCTGTCTAGCTGGGTCACTCTAGTTTTGAGTCCCTACCTACTGTTATCCCACCCAACAAAGGCTCTAGCCAACAGGATGCCTCCTGTCCCCAAAGCCTTACCAATCTCAGTTATCTTTCAGGTTCTAGCTGACTTCTCTTACCTGAAAAACTCACAGGACTGGCGCCTAGGGATTTTGACAAGTTATTCTCTCTATGCCTCAGTTTCCTTATCTGGCCAAAGTGATCTCAGGGTGTCTATGGGTAATTTTCATACATGGGCAAGTTCAAGCCATGCCGATGGCCTTGGCACTGACCAGCTGTTTTCCAGGTGGCTTATCTAGGCTTCATGAAAACAGTGTCTGGTGAAAACTGGAGCATCCTCCAAGGGTGTCCCCTTCACTGTCAAGCCAGGATAGGACTGTGGGGCCTACTCACCTGTCTTTAGGTGCTGCTTCTTCCCTGGCATCAGGTGGCCCCCCCAGTTCCCCCTTCCCCCTCCTCCCCACAAGCTCCTCAGCTGCCCTGAGCCATGCACATACGTTACCTCTGGTTTGGCTACTGTCCATCGCCCCATCCTGCTGCTTGCCTACAATGGAAGAGGAATGACAGACACGGAGAGACTTGAGAACACCCATGTGGTCATGACATACACAGAAGCACAGGAGAGTAGGAAGAGCTTGGGCACATACAGCAGTTCGTAGCTATATGGAGTAGAGGAGGGAAAGGAAAGGCCTGATAGCTGATAGCCATGACCTTGCCTATGGAGGGGCCTTCTTGACTTTCCAGGAGCAAGATATCATTACCTCCCAGCACATATTTACTGCATACCCTCTGGGCTTCCTGGGCCAAGCTTCTACCCAGTGTTTCCCACTGGGTCTTGACCTCAGCTCCACAGTGAGTCTCTAAAGCCAGTTCTGAATGGGCTCTGGGTCAGGTGAAGTAGGTGTGAACAGTTTCTGGAAGGCCTGCTACCTTAAGGGATGTCCTCTTCTTAGATGTTTGATCTTTTAGACCCAACAGGAGGTAATTCCCAAGCTCTAGACCAACCCAACCCCTCTATTCTTTTCTGAGGCCACTATTAGGAGGTGTGTGTCATTCAAAGGGATAAGGGCTCTGTCTGTTTTAGGGTACATCCAAACTGTGGGTCCAGAGCCACTGTGCAGAGGAGGTCTAAATGTTGGGTATCTAGCAGCACTAGGGGGAAGGTGTGAAGACTGGACTCCAGGTGGCCCTGTCTGAAGCCTCAGGTTGGGTACAGCCCATAGTGCTAGTTCCTCTTTCTGAGGGTTGCACAGCTCAGGTGACAGAAGAGTTTATCTGCAAGCCACATCTGCACTGGTCCCCATTTAGGGAGGAATCTGCCAGCACAGGATCAGTTTCCACCCAGTAGCTCATGTCACTGGGCAATCAAAGGACAGACAGGGTGTCAGGTAGCTTCTAGGCAATAGGACCATGGTCTGGGGTCCAAAGAATGAGAGAGACACCTCCAGCCATAAGTATGATAAGTATGGCATATATTGTACCCTTTCTGTTCAGGGCACCTGAGTGAATTGGGGGTAGTTTAGAGGTGAAAGAGATTTCTATCTATCTATCTATCTATCTATCTATCTATCTATCTATCTATCTATCTATCTATCATCTATCTATCATTTGTGTGTGTGTGTGTGTGTATGTGCACGTGCGCGCACCCATGTCTCTTATTTTTTTTTGTGTGTGTGTGTCCATGTCAATGGAGGCCAAGAAAGGACGTTTAGGGCCTCTGGAGCTGGAGTTACAAGTAGTTGTGAGCTTCCCAATATGTGTGCTGGGAAGCAAAGTGAGCATCACTAGAAGCGGTAGCCTGGAGTAAAGCAGAGCACAGCTGGAGAAGGAGGGACTCTGGAAGAAAAGAGTATGTAGGAGTCACGATCAAAGGCAGGAATAGAAGGCAAGGGTGGCAAGTTGATAGGGAGCAGCTTCAGAGCATGCTCAATGGGTTAACAGAACCACAGGAGTAAGTGAGACAATAGAAGATGGGGGGACACTGGACAAGATAGATGCTGTTCCCCAGAGTCCCTCAGGGTACTTCTTCGGGAAGTTAGCCTACTCTAATTCCCTAAATCTTACAACCTAGCAGTGTTGGAGAAGTGCAAGCATCCTGTGTTGGAGGGTTTGGATAAAGAATGTCAAGTTCAATGAGGAAGAAGGGACCTAGGCCTAAGCTGTGAAGAATATCTAACGGATAGAGCAGGAGGCCAGGAGCTTGGAAAAGAGCCACCAGGGACACCAGGAAAGTACAGGTGATGTCAGTTCAAGGCAGAGACCACTGTCTTCAAGGGGAGGGAGTGGATTTCCTAGAGGGCCTTATGTGGAAGGGGCTCCCTGTCAACCAAGCAGAACCAAGAGAGCACTAAGCAAGGTTATCTAGCCTGAGGACTCAAGCTAAGCTCAGCTGAGGCCCAGAGCCGACTTATCATTTATCTGTATATTCCTGGACATATTAAAGTTGTGGGATAACACTGGGAGGAGTTTAGTGGAGCCTGGGAACATGGTGCAGCTGGCAGAAGGCCTGGCCTGCCAACAGCAGGGAGGTGCTCAGGGAGGCACAGGACCGACTGCCAGAGAACAAGGATAATAGAAGCTTCCCAGTGATCAGCAATTGTAGCCCTGTCAGCTCATGTGTCTTGGCTCTCAGGGACAGCGGACCTCAAGAAGCAGCCTAAAGCCAGGACTACTAACTTATCCTTCCTCATGCCAGTCTATCCCTGAATAGTCTAAAACTGATAGCTGTGGCTCCAGGTCCTCTAAGATGAACAGGCATGCATCTGGAAATATCTGCTCCCTAGTCACCTGGGGATGAGGAAAAGAACTGGGGATGGATTGCTCACCAGAGCTATGGTGTATGCCTGAGTCACAGAGGAGCAGGGCCTGGTGAAGGGAACTTCTGTGACTCCATGGTTTTGAGTTCCATGGCTAGAAGGGGCAGTATAGTAGATTCCAGGGCCATAAGGAAGCTGGGGTCTCTAAAAATCCTCTGTTTCTACCCCTTACTGTCCCCAGGGACAGGGCTACCACTTGCTGGAGAGCCTCCCCTACCCCACCCCATCCAGCATCCCCTGGTCCTGGCTGTCATTTTGAGACCTATCCCTATCTGCTCAGGAGACTTCCACTTTGGACTTTGTGACTCCCTCCCCAACCCCAATCTTCTCTATGGAAGTTGAGTACCTTGAGGGTAGGCATGAAGACTCCAGCAGCATCTTTCAAAGTTGAGATAAGAGGTCACATTTCTGTGACCACACTTCATCCCAGGGACAGATGTACCAAAACCATCAGAGAATAGCTATCTAAGGAAAGTTGCCCCCACATAGGAGTCATTGACCTGCTGGCTCTTATGGAAAATATCAGAAGGATTCTCAAGAAGAATCAGAAGAGGGTGGTAGCTTCCAACCCATCTCCCTGGAGCCAGGATTGGTCAGCAGGCAGATGAAGAAGCAAGAACAGTAACATAGGAGGAAGCTGTCTCATCATCTCTGGGCACTGGAGTAATGACTGTCTTACCTTTCTTGTCTTTCTTCTCCTCCTCCTCTCCACCAGCTCCAAGCAATGTAAAGATGATGCCTGTCTGGGAGTTCACACCAACAGCTGTTACCACCATTCTTCCAGAACCTTCCATGACATGAGTGCCTAGCAAAGAAACACAGAGGAACTAAGACAGATTTGCACAGCCTGGTAGGACATACTCAGCACCCATAGGGTGGCTTTCAGTGTTTCCCTGAGGCAGGGACTTGTCTTGCAGAAGTCACTGCAGCCGTTGGCACCTAAATCTAGACTGCAACCTATTTCCAGGCTTGGGGAAGTGGGAATGACCCAGAGGACCACAGACTGTCAGGTCCTTGTCAGAAGCATAGACTGAGCCATTCACAGGGCCCACTAGGGGGCTTCTGGTCTTCCTATCCAGTTTCATATTACATTTCCCATTAAGATAAAAGTGGGCTGAATGAGAACCTTCTAGAAAAGGAACAAAACACACACACGGTCATCTTCAGAGTCTATATGTGGAGGGAGCACAATATCCCAAGCTCCCCTTGGGATATCCCATTCATGATATCAAAGGCCCTCTTGAGCAGGGGAGACCCATTTCTTTGCCCTGTGGCTGGAGCCACACCACCAGGCCTCCAGTGACCTGCTCTGGCATGGCAGTGGGTAGCATTCTCAGACTCCCCAACCAGAAGGGCTATTCAGGGAGACCCTAGTTAAGGCAAGTCCAGCAGGATGGCTTGGCTGGGGTTGCTGGGCCAGGCTTTCAATGTGACCTTATACTGGGCTGGTTGAGAAGGTGATCCTTACCTGAGAGTAGCATAGGATCTTTGTCTGCTGATTTGCGCACATGGTCCGACTCGCCAGTCAGGGAGCTCTCGTCGATCTTGAGGTCATTGCCTTGGATGAGCACACCATCGGCAGGCAGAAGGTCTCCTATAGGCCAGCCCAGGCCAGAACCGGAAGCTATGGGTCCATGGGACCTCCCCACCCTTACTTCCTCCCACCTTCTCCAGAGGAGTTCCTGTCATCTGGGAAAGGACTTGGGGGGGTCTCTTCTTTAAGCCTCTCCCTTTGAGGAGGATCATCCACATATAACCATGTCCAGTTCTCAAGGAACAGGGGCAACATTTGTAGTAGGAGACCTCTTCAGAGTGCTTCCTGTGGGCACTGTTGTGTCTCAAACTCCTTTTCTGCCCCTAATCACACCCCCTATGCTCCAATCTCAGGCCCCTGTGGGTGAAAACACACAGACTTCTGGGGAAACAGTCTGAGCTGGGGAGGTTCCTCTGGCTCACCCTTCTCAGAAATGGTATTCAGGCAGGGTGGATGAAGATGGGCACACTTACCGTATTTGACCTGGGCAATGTCCCCTACCACCAGTGCTGCCACAGGGACCTGGAGGAGCTGCCCATTTCGGATGACAGTAAACTTCTGTTCCTGTTCAATACGGCTCTGAAGACCTCGGAACTGCTTTTCCTTGCTCCAGTCATTGAAGGCCGTGACCAGCACCACACAGATGACAGAGAGTAGGATGGCAGCCCCTTCGATCCAGCCGGCCTCAGCCTCTCCCTCGTCCTCTGCCCCACCAGACACATTCCCACAGGCTGTGTCCAAGGATGGAGGAGAACATAAAGGAAGGAGAGGTGAAGTCATGGGAGCCAAGAGCTGGGACCCTTCCTTCTATCTCAGAGCCCCGCCCCTCACCTTCACTTTCCTCTCCAGGTGGTGCATAGAAGGAGAGGCCCAGGGAGACGATGGCAGCCACCTCCAGGATGATGAGAGTCACGTCCTGCAGGGCTTCCCACACCAGCTGCAGGAAGGTCTTGGGCTGCTTGGGAGGGATGAAGTTCTGCCCATAGATTTGCCTGCGTTTCTCCAAGTCATTGGTGTTGTCTGCCAGGCCTACACAGTGTCCCGGGAAAGTGGCAGAAGCACAGAAGAAGATGGTACAGGCTAGCCTTTGGTACCACAAGCATCCCTGACTAAGCTTCTGCTGCTGCAAGAGTGGCCCTTGGGGCTCTCTGACTAAAGCCTGCCTCTCTAGAACTGTGGAGCAGATTCTTAGAGAAGGCAGAGTGGTACAGGCCTAGTGATATAAGCCTTTCTGCAGGCCCAGGACTAAGCATAGGGGACCAAGCACAGCCCTCACAGGGAATACCCAGCCTGAGGAAGGGATGGTAACCCAGGGAAGGGGGTTATCAATTTCCTGATGCAATTAAAAGACAGTAGGCCTAGGGAAGGAGGCCTTGGGACTGTGGTTGTCTCAATTGCTGAAACATTAGCTCACAGCATGCACCTTCCATGTCTGCTGTCACTTCCACGTCCAAGCTATCTTCGAGGGATGCTTGCAGGGAAGTGATAACACCCAATAAAGGAAAGGGCAGCAAGGACCCAGGAGGACACTATGTGGCCAAGGGTAGCTGAGACAGGAGCAGAACAGAGCACCCAGTGGCTCCCTGGGTTGTAAGTGGGTAAGGAGGTGAACCAATATCTATGTGGCTTCAGTAGATTTGTGGGGAGGTTGCCAATCAAAGTGATCCAGGTAATATTAGCCCAGTTTCACCCAAGAGCCAAATAATTGGCCAAGGCCCTCTCCAAAGGGATCAGACAAGCTATCTGTCTCCTAACACTTAGATTCCATGTCTCTTTCAGAGTGCTGGTCACTTAGCCCCACACAGGCCTGAAAGATAGGACTGTGTTTGAGACACTGGTACTTTGAAAATGAGGCAGTCTTGGGACCTTGGCCACCCCACTGTATGGTTTACTGTTTCCAAAGACATTCAGCGCTATCCAGCCTAACCTGCAAAAGGGGCAAGGCACAGGGGAACCTAGGACCAGGGACATTGGTGTGTCCAGAAGCATAGCTGTTGAGGAAGATAGAGCAATGTCTTCTGGAAATGGATGGAGGCCTACTTTCTAGAAGTTTCTCTGGGAAGGATCAGAGAGAATGAGTGTGAGAGCAAGTTCTTAGGTCCAAAGACCTACATAAAGAGACTGTCTTATGAAGAGAAGAGGGAGGCTTGGGAAGTCCTTCAAGGTGGAAGTATAGGGCCTGCAAGGAGAAGCAAAGGCAGAGGTTTGTGGCATCTCACACCTAGGTATGGCCTGGGGAACTGATTCCCTAGGTAGTGCAGGGAGGCTGCTCCACAGTGGGGAAGGAGGGACTCTGTTTACCAGTTCCAGAGGAGGCTTCTGAGACTGGAGCTTGAAAGGACCAGGAAAGGAAAACAGAGTCCCTCAGAGGCTGAGCTACTGTGACACAGAGTTGAGGAGAGGATGACCCAAGGTCTGGTGCCCACAGTGCCCAGGAAGTACCCAAGCAAATGGCTCCCCTATACCTAACACCTTCTTAGGATGAGAGATGGGGATGGCTGAGGCTAAGGAGATTGTCAACGGTTCATGCAGAGAACAAGGAGAGGAAAGGAAAGCGAAGTTCCAGCATAGGCCCTCTTAGTCCTAACTTGAGACTCCTCAATCAGTGCAGGATCCAGGGGCAGAGAAGGCCTTAACTCATGGCTCCAGGGCCCTGCAGGTAATCTCCATATAGATTTCAGACCAGTGAGAAATTGCTACACCCTTATCCTTGGTTGGCAAACTTCTGTGCAGGATGATCAGTCCCTCCTTAGGTTCGCGCAGGACTCTAGTGCTATACCCCAAAGGGACCAGCTCCACACTGACACCTAGTGGATGGATGGCAGCTTGAAGCTTCCACCAGAGTCACTGGCATGGCTTCTACCACCTGCTGAAGGAGCTGAGTGGTGAGCAAAAGGGACATCTAGTCCACGGAACGTGCATAGCAGGCTGGGTTTAGGAAGGCTCACAGGACTCAGCCCCAGATCGCTCACCAATAAGGAAGTGCTGACAGTGGACCTTCTGCAGAGGATCAGGGTACAGCTTGAATGAAGTGGAGGGACTGACAAGAGCAAAAGTTGCAACCAGCACAGCTTTGGCACGTCCACACCATCTAGCCACACGGTATCCTTCCCACACAGAAGGGCTGCAGCTGTCCCTGCCTTTCTCTCCCTGGCCTCATTGAGCCTGGGCTGGGCTGGCAGCTCAGATTTCTGCTACGGCCAAAGGCCTCTTTCTGAAGGCCCACAGCTTTCCCAGTAGGGTGTCTGGGAGACCTCAGCCTCTGTGGTAGCAGTGGTGGGGGTAGGGACCAAGCTGAAAAGGCCCAGCCTTTCTTCTAGATTGAGCCTTTTCTCCTTCAACTGCAGGAGCTATGAGAAATTCAACATCACAAGAGATGCACCAGAACTCTGAATTCCTAGACACTTGGGGTCTACATTGCCCTTGGCCTGGAGCCCCCACAGAGAGCAAGTGACCCATTCTAGCTTCTAAAAAGCCCGAGTCCCATGGCATCATGTGACTCTGCTTCCTGACTGTCCTGCTTCACATGCCCAGATTGTTCCTAACGCTAGTGAGGCCCTTAGTCCCTTTCCCCCAGAGGAGTCTCCGTTCCCCTCCTCTGCCTTGCCCTTGGCCTTGGATCGTCCTTGCTACTGCAGCAATGCTCCCGCATCCCCTTTGCCTGGCAAAGACTGGCAGTTGCCTTCAGATTGACCCTGAAGCCTTGGCTTTTCTGTAGGGTTGAGACCAACAGCTGCCACAACTGCCGTGGTACCATTATTTGTGTGTGTGTGGTAGAGAAGGCAGCTGTGGCCCCTTTTGTTCCCAAGCACATGTCCACCCAGCAGGCCCAAGACATGGGGACAGAGGCTGGGTGGTTGGCATGGACACAGATGGGCTTTTCACCCAGAGCAGAGTCCAGATACCATCAGAATTGGATTAGGACTACATTGTGTTGGTTCTCAGCTAATTGGCCCCATCCTTTTTGTGGCTGCCTACAGAGAGTAGATAAGACAGGGGCAGGGTGCAGAGCCCCCTAACCAATCTACCCTGAAGTTCCTGACCAGCAGGCAGGTCCTTCCTCAGGATGGCTTCTGGAATTCTTCTGAATCTCTACAGAGGCTGACAGATGAATGGATTGGTGCAATACCTGCCAAAGTCCCCTCCATCAAGATGCCAACATACCTACCTGGCCCCTTGTCCTCTTCTGGGCACTTGCCCAGAGGATTGGCATGGGGCCAGAAGTGCAGTTAAGTCTACCCCTCCTACTCAGAAGGCCTGCTGAGGAACCTGCTTGCTCGAGGCTTGCTGTGCTGAGGAAATGGGGGAGTGAGAATCACCTGCTCCTGGCCCCAGACAGCTCGGTCCTAGGAGCCTAGGGGGAAGGGTTGGTCCCTGGGCTGCCATGGGGACCTAGGGCCTCAGATGCCTGTCAGGGGCTGAGCCACCCACCTGGGCACCTGCCCTTCTCCATGCCCACCCCATTTACAGGCACCAGATGAGCTTTGGAGCTCTGTGGCAGAATCGGGCAGGTTCCCAGAGGCCTTGACATTTTAAATATTTAACAAGGCCTGACAGGCAGAGGGAAGAGCTGCCAGCCAAAGCCCATCTGCTTCCTTTGATCTGGGAGAGGCCAGAGCCCTTGTGGCTAAATGGCCCTCTACCCCAGCCTTTTCAGAGGCCCCACGTTCTCGGGGGGGGTGGTGGTGGTGGTGGCGGGGGTGGGCAAGGAGGAGGACGGAAAGAGATCCTTTGGCATGAAGCCCAGCCATCTGCCTTGACATAATGCTGCTTCAGGCTGGTGTATGTGTGTGTGTGGTAGGCAGGCTGAATAGGCTATCAATGGGTGCAGCAGCTCTACATCTCAGTTCAGGAAGATCCAGATGGCCAGGGAGGCCACCATACCTGGAGTTCTTAACCTGGCCCATGGGCCTGCCTTCTCCTATCTCTAATGCTCCCGTGGGGCCATGCACTACTTCCTATGAAGTGATGATGCTTTCTTCAATCTACTTGGGGCAAGGCTACAGTAAGAGCATCTGGTGTGTGCCCTAGAGGCTTTGAATGGAGGCAAGGGCAGAGCAAGGAGGCTTGAGGCGATGAGCATGAGTATTGTAACTAAAGGACTGATTTAGAAACAAGAATGGGCAAGGCCTGGTGATAGGCGGGACAGGGGAGCCAGGGAACAGGAGGAACCCAGGTGGTGGTCAGGACTTGCAGGACTGGGTGGGTCAAAATGCCACCACTGATATGGGTGGCTGATAAAAATCAATCAGCACTTGCTGGGAAGCAGGCCTGGCATCAGATTGGGATAGCTCCAGCAATCCTCCAAGACCAGTGTCAGATGAGCCATAACGGGTTCCAGCTCTTGAAATCTGGGGCTAGATTCATCTCTTTGGGAACCCTGGTCTCACAGAAGACCCCAGCATTCAGAAGTTGAGGACCCAAGATGACAGTCAGACCTGCACTCTAGATCTTCTAGAGGACTCTCACCATGTGTCTTCTGTAGACGCTCACTGGTGTAATACTTGCACTACTTCAGGCTTGTACCTCTCTGGGACAGCCTGTGACTACTGTCACTTTGTGTGTGTGTGTGTGTGTGTGTGTGTGTGTGTGTGTGTGTGTGTGTGT